GCGCCTCCTCGAAGAACTGTGAGCCGTCAAAGAGCAGCGCCATCGTGTGCGTTGTGCCCTCTTCAAGGTAAAGTGTTGTTCTGCCTGCCCTCGTGTCGGGCATGTTTGCCGGCCCATGGGAGCGGCCGCGCCACGCCACCTGTTTCAAGTTGCGGGGACGGAGGGAAAGGATGTCGGTGACATTGGGCCACAGGGTTTCTATGTCCCCTTCTGATTCTCGCTCGTTCTTTCCTCGCAAGCGGCCCTGTGATTCTTGCTTGCCATCATCATCATCATCATCATCGCCCCCATCATCACCATCATCGTCGCCACCACCATCAGCGTCATCATCTTCATCATCATCATCATCATCACCATCATTGTCATCGTGATCATCATCATCTTCATCAACATCATCATCATCATCAACAACATCATCATCAACCTCGTCAACGTCATCAACATCGTCATCATCATCGACATCATCATCAACATCATCAACGTCATCAACAACATCATCATCATCAGCGACATCGTCGCCGTCATCAAAATCACCACCATCGTCCTCTTCGTTGTCATCACCATCATCAACATCGTCATCATCATCGTCATCATCATCATCGTCGTCATCACAATCATCATCATCACGAACATCATCATCGACATCATCATCGCCATCAACATCGTCATCATCGTCAACGACATCGTCGCCCAGATCAACATCACCACCGTAATCGTCACCATCATCGTGTTCATCATCGTCGTCATCATTATCATCATGTCGTGCCACGTGTCGCAAGTGGCTGGGACGGCGGGAACGGATGACGTGGACATCGGGGCACACGGTTTGCATGTCCCGTTCTGCTTCTCTCTCATTCGTTCCACGCGACCACGCCCACGACTCTTGTTTGGCTTGGCATTGAAGAAAAACTATCGTTGATCAAAAGCTGGACATTGCAAACCACTCCCGCGCCGTCGAGGCAAACACGAAATCGCCTATTCCCAGCGGAACACAAAACCCCTTCGAAACACTTCCCTCGCTCATTTGCTGTTCTCAACAAAGAGATTAGAGGTTGGTTATCACAAAGGAGACGCATGGGCTGCGCGCGACCGCTGTTGGTACTAAGCGTCGCGCGGTGGCCACGGTGGGAAGGATGTCCGCCATCCACGTGGCGTGCAGTGAGAGGTAAGGTATTCATAAAAAGGAGGGGTCGTCATTTCGTGTTCGTGTTCTCGCCGCAACACTTGAGCCTCCCTCCCCGAAGAAACTATGGCGTCGATCCCGGGAGAGTTGTTGTCGTCTCCATCCCGCACACACAACGTGCACATGATCCACCATAGAGGCCATGGATGTTGAGCGTGCGCTCCTGGCGCTGGTCGTGAGGGATGCGATATCGCATTCCGCACGACAAATGCCAGGACTGTGCGTGCAACATCCGCGGGCTCCAGAACGAAGAATGCACACGTTGCGTGCGCGCGATGGAGAACGCCTGCACCGCTCACTGCAATGACGATGGCGTTTCTTCGGCGTGAGCGCGCATGTTTCGTGACGACAACCTCGACACGAAAACATGGCCTCGTTCAGTAACGAACAATCCGGCCGCCTCCGGAAACGTCTTTGTCATCGGGGCAAGGGGGGTCGCCATTGTCATCGCAAGCTTGAAACCAACAACAGCCAAACGAAAAACGGCGCGTGGCGTGTGGTTGCCTGGCGAGATGGGAAGTTCGGATCCCGGCGAACTACAGCAATCATGCGCAGTGCTCTCGCGAAAGCAACAATCTGTTGTCGTCGCTCGGCCGCAGGGAGAGCACGCGCAGGTGCGAAAATAGTGCATGATTGCTGTAGTTCGCCGGGATCCAAAGTTCCCATTTTTTTGGCGGTTGTTGGTTTCGTGTTCGCAGTCACAATGCCATCCCGGGTTGCCCTGATGACTACGTTTTGTGGGACACAGTTCCCATCTTTCGGGCGTGGGGTCGATAGTTCATAACGCCATGCCAGTTTTCAGCGTGCGGCGAAGTTCAGATCCCGGCGGACTTGCAATCTGAAGCATGCGAAGTCGCGGGCTGCTCGGATGATTATTGTTGTTTCGACCGCGTCGCTGAAATAAGACGCTTACGGTTTGCATGGATCTTTTCAAAGTCCTGGTTGCATGACTGTTCTTTCGTTGGCGTTGCCGCAAAAAAAAAAATCCTACCAACGGGACCCCAGCAAAAACAAAGTGTTTAATGCTCCCGGTCGAACGAGGCAACCGATCTGAAGTTCGGATCCGGGCGGACTTCGTGGTTGGCACCCGTACGTGGTCCCATGAACCTGGCTATGGAACCTGCCATTGCCTGACTGCGAGCTCGCCTTGTCTGCGGTACTAATCGGGGGTCCACCAGCCGTGGTCATTTTTTTTTTTTGCTTGCAGTCGTTGTCATCAAGGATGGCAACATTTGCGACTGGATTGCCGCAAGTGCTCGCTTTGTCGATGAGGAGAATCGGGGTCCATGGGTGTCTATTGGGGGTCGCGCTGCGCAAATTTCCGACGTGGTGCACCTGCGACGACCATTTCTGTTCTGCGTGCTCTGTTGGAACAAACACTTGTGAGCAGCCGCAGGGCCTCCCTGAACATGCAGCCAAGCCTAGCGTTCCTTCTGTGCAATTCCACACCGGTCATCCAAATATCCGTCGTCCCCCGCGCAAACCGGTTCCTTGCCAGTCCAGCAAGCGCCAAGTTCGGATCCCGCCGGACTTTGAGGTCCCGCGTAAATTTAACCGCCGTTTTCGACGGCCACGACAGTCGAGTGCGTTCTGATTACCAGAGGCCTCCGGGCACGCAAAAGTGCTCGCATGAGGCCTGGAGCTTCAAGTGTGAGTTGATTGCGCGAGGACTGTGGGTGCGAAAAATTGCTCACCTTCTAAGATGCCCTTCGAGGGGTTTGTGGGGGTTGCCGACGATGATAGCGGTCATGTCCCTTGTCTATGTGTCGTCGATCTTTGTTGCCCCCAGAGGGTTTTGATCGTCCCGGTGCGCGGATTCTTGTCGCACACATGCTCGTGTTTTTGCGTGGTTTTCGGTTCGCGCTTTCGCACGTCGACGTTACCGGCACGCGAATCGGGGGTCGCCTTGTCGACTGGCCGAATCGGGGTTTGGAAGGGTTGCAGGGGGGGTCTTTCATCTGTTTCTACATTTTTCTTGTCTGCGCGGTTGGGATGTCCGATCTCGATGAACTCTTGCACTAGGGGTCAGTTTGGGGTCGCGCTGCGCCCGATTTTGTGGTGGTGCATCCACCGCTGCCCTTTGCTCTGCGCGTGCTGACGTTCAACGACAGTTCGAGAGCGGCAGAGCCTTCCTTCTGTGCGGCCAAGCATAGCGTTCCTTGTGTGCACCCGCTGGCGCTCCATTCCACTGACACTGGCCGCGCAAAAACAGGTTCCTTGCTACTCCAGCACCGGCCAAATTCAGATCCCGGAGGACTTCGAGGCGCCGCATGAATTTGACCGTTGTTTTCAACGGCTTGGACTTCTCCGTCCGTCTTCAATGCCGGCGGCCTGGTATTGCGCAAAATTGCTCGCCTTGTAAGTTGCCCTGAAAGGGGTTTATTGGGGTTGACAACGGTGTCGCTGGCCGGGTCCATTTCCGGTGTGCCGTGGATCTTCGTTCATCGGCGCCCCAAAATGCGGTGCGCCCGAACAACGCCTGCTTCTGTGCAAACACCATCCACCCGTTCCAAATGCAGGCGAATCCACCAAGTTCGGATCCTGGCGGACTTCGAGAATCGACGCGAATCTATCCGTCCTTTGCGTGGCGCCTGGAGCTTCGAGTGTGAGTTGATTGCGACAGGACTGTGGGTGCGAGAAATTGCTCGCCCTCTGAAATGCCCTTCAAGGGGTTCATGGGGGTTGCCGAAAATAAGGGACACGGCCGTTGTCACCGTCGGCAACCCACATTAACCCCTTCGAGGGGATTTATGAAGGCGAGCATTTTCTCGCGCCCACGATCTTTGTTGCCCCGCAAGGTTTTTGACCGTCGAGGTGTGCGGAGTCTTGTCGCAGAATCGGGGGTCGCCTTCTCGTCTGGCCGAATCAATGTTTGGAAGGGTTGAAGGGGGGATCTTTCATCCTTTTCTACATTTTTCTTGTCTACGCAGTGGGGATGTCCGAGTTCGATAAGCTCTTGCGCTAGTACATGTGAATGAAAAACTGCACGAGCTCACTTAGACGATGGTGAGAATCGAGTTTATGGGGGTCAGTTTGGGGTCGCGCTGCGCCGAATTGTGTGGTAGTGCATCCACCACTACCCTTTGTTCTGCGCGTGCTATCATTCACCGACAACTGAGCCTTCCTTCTGTTCGCCCAAACATTGCGTTCCTTGTGTGCACCCACTGGCGCTACCTTCCACTGACACAAGCCGCGCAAAAACAGGTTCCTTGTTACTCCTGCACCCGCCAAATTCGGATCCCGGCGAACTTAGAGGCTCCCCGTAAATCTGACCGTTATTTTCAACAGCTTGGACTGCCCAGTCCGTCTTCAATGCCGACGGCCTGGTAGTGCGGAAAAGTGCTCGCCTTGTGAGTTGCCCTGAAAGGGGTTTATCGGGGTTGACGATGGTGTCACTGGCCAGGTGCATTTCCGGTGTGTCATGGATCTTTATTCATCGACGCCCCGAAATGCGGTGTGGTCGAGCATTGCCTGCTTCTGTGCAAACGCCATCCACCCGTTCCAATACCTGCAGCCGCGCGAAAACCTGTTACTCGCTGCAGGCAAATCCGCCAAGTTCGGATCCTGGCGGACTTTGAGGATCGGCGCAAATCTATCCGTCCTCCGCATGGCGCCTGGAGCTTCGACTGTGAGTTGATTGCGAAAGGACTGCGGGTGCGAGCAATTGCTCGCCCTCTTAAATGCTCTTGGAGAGGTTCATGGGGGTTGCCGAAAATAAGGGACACGACCGTTGTCACCGAAGGCAACCCCCATAAACCCCTTCAAGGGCATTTCAGAAGGCGAGCAAGTTTTCGCACCCACGATCTTTTCTGCCCCCCCAAGGGTTTTGACCGTCGCGGTGTGCGGAGTCTTGACGCAGACATGCTTGTGTTTCTGCGTGCTGTCCGATTCGCGCTGTTGCACGTCGACGTTCACGGCGCGCGAATCGGGGGTTGCCTTATCGACTGGCCGAATCAATGTTTGGAAGGGTTTAAGGGGGGATCTTTCATCCTTTTCTACATTTTTCTTGTCTGCGCAGTGGAGATGTCCGTGTTCGATAGCTATTGCACTAGTGCCAGCGAATGGAACACCGCACGAGCTCGCTTAGACGATGGTGAGAATCGCTGTTTATAGGGGTCTGTTTGGGGTCGCGCTGCGCCGAATTGTGTGGTGGTGCATCCACCACTACCCTTTGTTCTGCGCGTGCTATCGTTCACCGACAACAGAGCCTACCTTTTGTTCGCCCAAACATAGTGTTCCTTGTGTGCACCCACTGGACCTACCTTCCACTGACACAAGCCGCGCGAATACAGGTTCCTTGCTACTCCTGCACCCGCCCAATTTGGATCCCGGCGAACCTAGAGGCTCCCCGTAAATCTAACCGTTATTTTCAACAGCTTGGACTGCCCAGTCCGTCTTCAATGCTAGCGGCCTGGTAGTGTCGAAAAGTGCTCGCCTTGTGAGTTGCCCTGAAAGGGGTTTATTGGGGTTGACGACGGTGTCACTGGCCGGGTGCATTTCTGGTGTGCCGTGGATCTTCGTTCATCGCCGTCCCGAAATGCGGTGCGGCCGAGCATCGCCTGCTTCTGTGCGAACACCATCCACCCGTTCCAATACCTGCAGCCGCGCAAAAACCTGTTACTTGCTGCAGGCAAATCCGCCAAGTTCGGATCCTGGCGGACTTTGAGGATCGGCGCAAATCTATCCGTCCTTCGCATGGCGCCTGGAGCTTCAAATGTGAGTTGATTGCGAGAGGATTGCGGGTGCGAGAAATTGCTTGC